GTGTGTCTTTACTCTTACCCAGACTCCCTGCCTGTGTCTGAGGCAGTGTGAGTGTGTGTACAGTGTGTGTGTCCCTGTGAGAGGGGGCGGGTCTGTGCTCCTGCTGAACTCTCTCATTTCCCTCCTGTGTTCTGAGGAACTCACTGGACTTTCCTCACACGTGACTCAGCCTGCTGGGCTATAAAGACAGAGAGGCAGCCAGGGGAAATCAGAATCGGGACAGAGTGAGAGAGAAGACTGCTTCCACACGCACAGAGAGAAGACTGCTTCCACACACACAGAGAGAGAAGACTGCTTCCACACGCACAGAGAGAGAAGACTGCTTCCACACGCACAGAGAGAAGACTGCTTCCACACGCACAGAGAGAGAAGACTGCTTCCACAAGCACAGAGAGAGAAGACTGCTTCCACACGCACAGAGAAGACTGCTTCCACACGCACAGAGAGAACGCAGTAAGTTCAGATCTTCACAGTATATTAACTGTACTGACAGTCTTCTGACAGCATACTAACTGTACTGATAGTATACTATCTCTACTCTTGCTATACTAACTGCCCTGTCAGTATACTAGCTCTACAGTCGCTATACTACCCTTACAGTAATGCTGAAGTATACATGCTTTTCCTGTAATGCAAAATCTGCTTGTGACTCACCTAACGAGCTGACAGAAAGTCTGTCCAACAGCACACGGGCCAGTCTCTGTAGACCAACATGTCTGCTATCTACTGTAGGCGCAGGTTGGCACAGAGCTGGAGACAGACCCACTGTGCCCTCTGTGCTTTGTGTGCCTGCTGTGTGCTCAGTGTGTGCTCTGTGTCCTCTGTCTGCTCTGCGCTCTCCATGCCCTCTGTGCCCAGGGCACAGTGCTGTGGAAGTGCTGCAGTGCTCGATGAGACCATGTGACCTCTAACAGCCCCTGGTGAGACACCCGCTGCCCTGGAGGGACAGTCTGTTCGCTAACCCCCCATTCTGCTCTGTCCTCAGGTGCAGCCATGCAGACTCACAACACTGACAGCAGGAGTGCAGAGACCACAGACAGGTAGCATCCCTTCACTCTTCACTTCCTCTCTC